CAGGAGGTATGTCATATCAGGAGGTATGTCATATTTATACTGTCTGTCTATTTGTCTGCAGGTTGTTTATGTGATCAGCGGAGGAAATGAAGAGGGTCACTTCGATATTATCCCCAACGCAGAAGAGGCGCTAATTGTCACCACGACAGCACTGGACAGGGAGACCGTTGATAGATACACACTGACGGTGAGTTGGCCCAAATGGTTAAAGTATTACAGTGCTATTGATTGAGAGAAGTCACAAGATCTTTTGAAGTGACATTGGTTTGAATGTGTCTTCTGCTTATAGATTACAGCATCCGATCAGGGTATTCCATCCATGAATTCCTCCATCGTCGTTGAAGTAGTCGTCAACGATCTGAACGATAACCCTCCAGTGTTTGATCAGGTCAACTACACTGCAACAGTGGAGGAGGTACGTTACATCACTGTGCCAATTTCTAATTCCAACCCTAAACACTGTACCTGTTTGAAAGGCAAAGTAAAACACTTTCCACTTTCCATCCTCTTACCAGAATGTCTTACCCAACCAACCAGTAACAACCATCCTCGTCACCGACATGGATGCCTCCTCATCCAATAACATCCAGTTCCAGATCGACCCGGCGTCCAATCCCAACGGTGTCTTCCAGATCAACTCCCAGGGAGAGATAACGCTCACCACTCAACTGGATCGAGAAACCCAAGCTTTCTATGATCTCACTGTCATCATGACTGACCCTAATTATGACCCCACCTTCATGGTTAGTTCACAAATTATTTTACGAACTAAAGATTTTATCTGCTGATTACATGGTATATCCACCCAGAGCTATTTCCTAAGTTGGTGTAATAGTACTTAAATATTAAGGTGTGCCTACAGGCAATACATGGATGGACACTTTAAGTAAGATGCTACTTAGCACACATTTCACCGTAGCTTTTATCTTGTAAATTAATGAATAAATAGACCAATGAGTTTGCAGGAATGAAAATACTTGATAAACAAATAAATACCAACTTGCATGTCTCAGGTTTTTAATCTTTTAACTGTTGAGCTGTGTATCAGACCAGATCGAATACTCCTTTGAAAGTAATTTTAAAGCGTTCTCAATTTGAGAGTTTTTGTATTGATTCAACTCAGAGTGTCCCCTTTAACCTCCTTGTAGGAGACGACCCATGTGTATGTGACAGTCCTTGATCAGAATGACAACCAGCCTGTCTTCCCTGACCAGCCCTCGGTAACGGTCACCGAGGGGCCATCATCCACCGGGGTCATCTTTGTCACCGTTACGGCCAGTGATGCTGATGTTGGCAACAACTCTGAGATGGTTTACACCATCACCAGGGGAAACGGGGAGGGCATTTTTGGTATCCATAGCAACAATGTAAGTCAGTTCAACTGGCAATATTTTAGTCCTTGAATGAACGTTTGCTCAAGTCCATACGTAGGCTTATTGAAAGCTATGGAGACCTGTTATGTCATCATTCAAAACAAAAACGGAATCTGTCTAAAAGCTTCTAATGTTTTGATTCTGTGATTCAGGGTTCAATCTATATAATCAATGAACTTGACTGGGAGACAACACAGACCTATGAACTCATCATCACAGCGACAGACCAAGCAGTGAACAGCAACGACAGGAGAACTGGAACCGTCACTGTAAGTCAGTCTTGGGGAATTATTTCTGTGAGATTATGATTGAAATGTTATGGGATTTGGACAGGATACTCATGGTTTGATTTCCCTGTGTTTCACAGAGTTTTTCTCATCCAAGGTATGAGGTCTTTTATGAAGAAAAATTACATCTGTTGCTTACAACTAACACAAGTGTATCACTAAGTGAGATTTCAAACTAGATGTTAAACAGTTGGTTACAAATATCAGAATCCCCGTCTCATTTTTGGAATTCTTGTTGGCTCCAGGTTGTCATAAATGTGGAGGACATCAACGACACACCTCCTCAGTTCCCTTCCAGTTACTTTGGTCCTTACAGCGTCTCTGAGGGTGTACCAGGAACCTATATTGGCCCCTTCGTGGCTGTTGATATGGACAGTGGTGCGGGTGGCCAAGTGACGTACACCATCATTGGAGAGTACAGCGGTGAGTTGTCAGTGTCCTGTTCCGCCATTTTGTGAAAAATGAGAACAAAATGATACATGTTCTGTTTACTTCAGGGTCAGACATACATCCATGATGAATCAAGTGAAATCCAAGCTTCAGAATTTTAACTTCATTATCAAAAGGGTTTAAGTATGGCTGGTTATTTTTTTTTTTTGTACTCTTGGAATTTTTTTCACAACAGATTTGTTCATCATTAATCCGACCACGGGAGTGTTGACCCTGAAACCAACCGCAGAACTTGATTATGAGACCAGCCAAGAGTTCAACATCACCATCATAGCGACAGATGCTGGGATGCCATCGCTTAATGGAACTGTGAGTTGCAACTTGAGTTTTTATCAGCTTCTTTCAAGCCAACAGAGTGAAATTTCCATTTTTGTCAGGAAAGACAAATACACTCAAGAAAAAAAAGGATGACAAATGTTGTAACATCTCATCCATAGATTCTATTTCCTGGTTGGCCAAGGGCCTATCTTCTGTTTGTATCCACAAATAAGCTTTTACAGTTTGCATATTTTACTCTTTGTATTCATGATTCCTTTTGACATTTGTCTCGGCCACAGACCACAGTTGGCATCATTGTCATTAATGTCAATGACAATAGCCCCCGTTTCCAAGACACCCCCTACCGCACAAGCATCAACGACACCTCACCGGTGGACGCCTGGGTGTATAAAGTGTTAGCCACAGATGATGATGCAGGCCCTGAGGGCGAGGTGACCTATAGCATCTTTGACGGCAACACGGGAGGAGTGTTCCGGATCGATCCAGTCGTAAGTTTTTAACATCAACTTTGCCTTAGTGCCATGTGAGTCTTCTTTGTGAGGTTCGGAAGGTTCAGAAGGGAACTGATGTCAACGTTGGACAGTACGCTCTGTTAGTTAGTACGCCTTCTGACAAGGTTTTTCAGTTTTTGCTTGTCAGATTTAGAAGAAGAAAAAGTTATATCTGTCTTTGCTGTTGTCAAAGGAACTTGTCAGAAGTTAAATACGAAATGAATTTCAGTCCTAATATTTTGCTTATATTCTTGCTAGACTGGAAATGTCTTCGTCAACAAAACTCTGACCAACGGTGTTTACAGGCTGGTCATCAAAGCTCAGGATAATCCAGCAAACCCAGACAATGCTCGAGAGGTAAGTTGCCAATGCCAAGGTCATGAAGACAGTCAACAAATCCCTGTGTTTATTTTAGTGTACAGTGGCAAATCTAGGATCAGTAAAATTCAAGAGTACAAAGGGACAGAGGGGTCGTCATGAACCGGCTTATCCATAAACCTGGATCCACCCTTGGTATGCATTGCCTAAAAACGATATTGCATGAAAAGGAAGATGTTTGGCTCAACTGTGTTTCGGAACATCAACATTTTAGATACAGTCCAGAGGGGAATTGACTCTTTGCAAACAGCTTGTTGCCAGTCCAGAGGTTAATTGTCTATTAACCCCAATTTTTTGGAGCCCCAGTTTGCCACCATTTACTTTTTTAGTTATTGCTCCATGACATTATCATCTTCCAATTGTTTCAGTGAATAACCTTCAAGGTCAACTGTATGACACCTGGTTTTGTGCTGGTTTTTGTTGTGTCCAAGTTCCATGTTTATCCCTTTGGTTCCTTTGCCCAGGTTACTGAGACTCTTACCATCTTAGTTGCTGACTCCACCACCGTTATTCCCATCTTCCCCAACAATGGAACCTTCACAGGCAGTGTGCTGGAACACTCAACTGTGGGAACCTTCGTCCTGGTATGTCCCCAAGCGACGTACGCAACATCTCCACACAAACCCAATTGCTTCTGATTTCATCTTTGAACATGTGGTTTTTTTTATATCTTGCATGTATACGTTGAAACATGTATGACTTTGCCTTCCCTGCAGACGGTTTCTGTTGAGAACGAAGCCGATGCCGGTGATTTGACGTATGCCATCAGTGGACAAGATGCAGGCCCATTCTTTGTCAATCCTTCAACAGGTCAGAGCAAACTTGTCACTGTTTGCAGTTCCCTTTCTTTGTTATCAGCAAAATGTAAAACGTTGTGCAATGTTTCTCAGAATTTGGCATTTGTTTGGTAATCTATTTTAACTATTGTTCTCATGATCATGTTCTAGGTGTCATAACGGTCAACGGCATACTGGATGCTGAAATCCAAGATCATCACGTCTTTGACGTCTCTGCTATTGACTCCAGGGGTGTGAGTGCCAATGGCAAGGTGAACATAACTATACTCAACATTAATGATCACCTGCCACAACTGGACGAGATTGTCTTCAACTTCACAGTGCCCGAAGATGCCGGTGATGGTGTGTATATTCACTTTAATTATTTCACAGGACCAACTTTTTTTACCAAGTTACTATCCTTTTAATCTAAGACTATAATAGAATGCAGTCATCAATACACCATGACATTACCTAGCTGCTTTGACTTGTGGCAAATGTGTTTGTTGTTTGAATACGATCAGATTGTCTAATTGTCAAGTAGGACTGGACTTGATCAAGAACCGTTTTTCAAGCAAAATCATTTGGAAATTAAATTAACTTTAGATGTAACATGAAAATGTGAAGTTTGAGATGCTTTAGATACGTGAAACAATAGGGTGCTTTTGCCCGTGTTGCAATTTCACAGTTTATGAATACAACATTATGGCTATTCTCTCTAAATGATGTCTTTTGTTTAGGTTACTACGTTGGTCAAGTGAACGCTTCAGATGATGACAACACAAACACCATGCTGCGTTTCACCATTGAGCGGGGCGCTGGGGACAAATTCACAATTGACCCAGTGACCGGCGTCATCACGGTCCTGGTAGCCTGCCGTGGTGACATCTGCGACAATCAACCGCTGGATAGGGAAGAGCAAGATCAGTACATCTTGACGGTGTCCGTGTCTGACCAGGGCAGCCCACCACTGTCCAACAGCGGTGTGGTGTACATCTACGTGACGGACGTCAACGACTTCCAGCCATATTTCCCGGACAACTTTCTGGATGTTGTCATCAGCGTGTCGGAAGATGCCGCATTGAACCACACTGTGACAACAGTTCAAGCAGTAGATCATGATCAGACGGCTTCTCTGACTTACAGGCAAGTGGCCCTCAGAGGGTTTTTAAAGTTTTTCTAATTTTGTGTTTCAGTTTCGCTGCTATATTTGTTCAAATTGTACCAAACCTTTATAACTTTGAAGAATGATCCCTTTGCACAATTTGAATTAATTCCAATTTTACAAAATTAAAGCTTTTCATTCTTGGAAAGGAAAAGCCTTTCTTTTTTACTGATCATTTTGCAAATACTTGTCACAAACTTATGAACCAATGTTCATCTACATGTCTATCATGACAAATAATGTTCTTATATCTTATTTCTGTAAATTTGGCAGCATTGTGTCTGTGACTGCAACCAATCTGCTGGGTGAGCCCATCGCTAACATCTCTGCCATCGAGGGTTTGTTCGGCATCGATCCCTACACGGGCACTGTCTACGTCAGTGAAACTTTGGACAGAGAAACAGCCGCCCAGGTCGTCCTGACAATTTCGGCAAACGATAGTGCGTCTGTCGACCCTGCGCTGAGTACCAGCAATCCTAATGGTAGGTGTATAAAAACAATACGGTGGAGATCAGTGAAGTCATTTGGTCTGGTGCCCTACCTCAAATTAGACTCTCTGCTCATGCCACTTATTTGCTGATATTATCTCTCATTTTTATCCCAAGATTGCCTAATCTCATTCAGCCTAGATAGAATACCAAATCGTCGTACTGTTATCCATTGTATCCACAAAAACACCTTGTAACGTCCAATTAATTTCCTTCATTCAAACTCCATCAGCCAAGGTAACCATCCAAATCACCGACGTCAATGACAACCCTCCAGTCTTCCAACCGCCTGGTACCACGGTAATTGTAGTGACTGTCCAGGAGGAATCAGGCATGGGTACAATCATCACCAATGTGGAAGCCATAGACCCTGATGACCCCATCAATGGTGTGGTGACCTATGTCTTAATGGGTAACCTTACCCAGTTTGTCACCATCCATCCTTTCACAGGTACATACAGCGGCATTTTTGGTGCCATTTAGTCCTTCCACCTTTTTTCTTGCTCCCACAACCTTCTGGTGGCTGCTAATTTCTTTGATCTTTCATTGGGCAGATTATATTTACTACTCTTGTGTCTTGAAATGTAAGTGCTGCACGTTCCTTTGAACATTTTACATTCCCTTCGTAGTTTTGTTGAGAGTTTGAATTGTTTCACAGTACAGTTGATTGTTTCGAGAATAATGAAAGAAGAAAATAGTTGCATTCTCAAATATTGATAGAAATTCAATTATTTAAGATTTGACAATTCTGAACAGACTCAAGACTCGAGAGAATTTTCTTCTTTTTGTCTCCTCAGGTCAAATTACGGTTAACCAGGTTATTGATAGGGAGCTCTATGATTGGCTGAATTTCACCATCATAGCCATGGACAGTGGCACACCCTCCCTCTCAACCTCCATCCCAATCAGCATTCAGATTCTGGATGTCAACGACCACAATCCTGTCTTCAACCAGACTAACTTCATGGCCACAGTCATAGAGAATGCCAATCCGGGCACGTTTGTAATCGTTACCACGGCAACGGATCAGGACATAGGACAGTTTGGAGAGGTGACATACACGCTGACCGGAGGGGACGGACTATTCGTGATCAACTCCACAACGGTAAGTCAGCCGCGTGAAGAGTTTTTCATACTTAAGGTCTACAACAGCCTGGCTCGATATCTGAAATGTGGGCAAGTACTGACCACATAGATTGGGCAATTTCATTGGTTGCTATGAGCTTGACAGAATTTTCCCTGTAATCTGATTGGTTACGTTGATAAGTATGACCCTGTATCTGAAAGAGGGAGGAATTATTCCAACTGGCTCTCTTTGCTATTTGCAGGGTGTCATCACCACCTTGCAGCCATTGGACCAAGAGGTCCAGTCCATTTACACGCTGACGGTCATCGCAGAGGACAATCCGGGCGGCTCACAGACCAATAGTAGACAGGGATCGACCACAGTGAGTGTACTGAGGGTTGAGCGTTTGCATAGTCCACCTCGACTGAGGGCAGAATTTGTCCTTAAGATTCAATGACATTGAATGTACAATGGGTCCACTTGTGCATGTCAAAGAGAAATGTAGACCTGCTCACCCCACCGTGGAAATTTTCTTAGCTGTGTCTTTGTAGCATTGTTGTAGTCAAGTACTTTGCTAGTACTTCACAAGTCTTCACGGTGCATCACAGGTGCTCCAGTCTCAATAAATGCCACAAGCTACTCATATAGAACTGTAGCAAAGACATTCCATTGTTAGTAGTGAAAGTACTTGTGACAGTGACTTTTGATGACAGGTAAAAGAAACAGCCGTAAGCACTTGCCAGCTCCATCGACTGAAGCACCTAATGTCAACACTGTCTGAGGGTATGGTACTTACAACACCAGATTGTGGGATGAGCGTGCACTCTGTTGGTTCAAATCATGTGGGAGGCACTTTAGTTGTCTCGGTAGGCTGGACACATCACATGTGCTATGAGATGTTTCGCCTTGATTTTTGTAGCTTTTCAAATGTGGCTCATTTTGACCATTGTGTCACAACAGGTGACTGTCATCGTGGGTAACGTCAACGAGCATGCTCCAACCACCCAGCGAGAGTTTCCATTTATCATTCTGGAGGAGCAGCCAGGGGGGACGTTGGTCGGTGTCATCGATGCTTCTGATCCCGATGACCCAATGCAAGAGCTCAACTTCACCTTCATCCTTGTTGAACCACCTGGCAAGTTCTTCAAACACTAGGCTTTGACTTCTTAGATAGAGGATTATAGAAATGGAAAGATGCCTTGAACAAATCAAACTTGATCTTATAGTTTATAACCCCTTAATGCCAGGATTCTTTTGACCGCGACTGCTGGGCTGTGGTATGCCCTGTATGCAAAGCTCTGTCCAGCAGCAGGCCCACATTGAAACCGCAGCTGCACGGTGAATAGACTGTATGTGTGGTATGCACTAATCCTCACACAAAGCCGCGGCTGTCGACGGTTCCCGGAGCGAAGGGGTTAAGTGCAATATCGTTTACCAAACATGTACCACTGCAATGCACACAGGAAATAAGCACATTCCCTGAACTACACATTTTGAAATCATGTATTTTGTTTCTTTTTTTTGATCTTACAGATGGCAATGTCTTATTTTTCATCAATCAAACCACTGGAGAGATCTTCACTACCGGACCACTTGAGGCAGATAATGCTACTTACGGAAGTACTTTCAACATCACAGTATTGGTGAGTCGCACTGAATACCTATCAAATTTCTATGGTAATTTCACAACATTACCAGAGGTTGAATTGTTCAGACCACATCTGAATCTTGTGTCTGCAGCAAGGTCAAGGTTTACTCCAACAAAAATAAGTGGGCTCATTCTGTCAAACGAAGTAGCCGTAGGTCTGTCTTGAAACCTGTTTTAGACGGGATCTTTTAAAAATGAATAAAATTTTTACAGTCGTCATTGGTATATATTGCTTTATTATTGAAATTCTCAACATTCAAATAGGTCATGGTGTGTTTAACGCATACATTATTCACCTTTTTTGTTTCACATATCGGAATAGATCTCCGACAATGGTAGCCCACCACAGACAACCACCACAACGACCATTATCACCATTCAGGACACCAATGACAACAATCCAATCTTCCCCAACGGGCCCTATGACCTGGCCACCTCAGAGGCTAGCCCTGTGGGCTTCCAAGTTACCGTGGTAATGGCGGAAGACATCGACCAGAATGCCATGCTGACATACCGCATCATCGGCGGCAACATAAATGGGACATTTTTCATTAATCGTAAGTTTCAGTGTATAGTACATCTTGTTTGCTTACACCAATGTCATTGTCTGTTAAGCACCCTGTTCTGTGTGATTTCTGAAAACTGTGGCGCTACTTTTCATCAAAACACTTCAGAAAAGTAGCCTGTGCAAAGTTTAACTTAACAGCAAGAGAAACGTAGAATAGTTTCACAAGCAAAAGTTCAAGTCTTTACTGAGAGCTACATCCATTGCAACTGTTTTGTTCCAGCGACAAATGGGGAGATTCTCATCACCAAGCCATTGGACTTTGAGACAAGGACCGCATACAACCTGACAGTCCAAGTCTCAGACCAGGATGGTCGGACGGGAACCACCTATGTGGTCATTAATGTCATGGATGCTAATGATCAGGGACCAGTGTTTCTCCGGCAACCCTACCTTTTTGATGTGTATGAGAATGTTGATCTTGGTAAGCCAGATTTGACATCAGTCTTTAAATTCTAAAAAATGCTTTAGCAGAGAGAAGATTTGTGAGCAGAGTAGAGGATAATGATGAAATTAATATTTTCAAGTCAACAAAAATTCGTGGGCATTGTAAAATCAGCCATCTTGAGCTTAAAAGAAATCAAGCTATCCGCGAGAGGGTAGCAAGCCAAATGGCAACAGAGATAAACATATTGGAATGGTGCTGTCTTATGGAGTGAAAAAAGTGAAGAAGTCATTTCAATTTGCTTCAATTTCTGCATTGTCCCAGGAACAGAGATTGGTCACGTAGAGGCAGTGGATGCCGATCCTGACCCATCCAACTCCCAACTGACTTACCACATTCTGAGCAGTGTGCCAGCCAGTGCACCCTTCGTCATCAACCAGACTACGGGGGTGATCACCAGCACTGGGATCTTAGACCGCGAGATGCAGGATAGCTACATGCTGACGGTAGAGGTGCGGAATACCCGCTCTGTACCTGGGGAAGAGGATGTGACCTACAAACTGTCGACCCCTGTGAGTAATCGATGCATGGTACTCATGTGATTGATGAGTAGCAGTGATTTGAGTAATGAATACTACCCAGTTTATTGATAGGCAGTACACAATGAACCGATGATTTGTACTCATCTGATTGGTGATTTAGAATGATTTGAGTTATGAGTAGTTTCAATCAGTGGTGAGTACTGAGCAATGATATTCAGTTGAGTGATGAGTACTTTTTGATATCCCATTTGCCCTTTCCAATAAATTCCTTGCTCAGGTCACCATCACTATCCTGGATGTGAATGACAACACCCCAGTCTTTGCTGGTGGGGATAACATCACCAGGAGTTTCCCTGAGAACTCGCAGGTTGATTTCCCAATCTACCAGCCTTCTGCTCAGGATATGGACATCGGAGAAAACAGCCAGGTGACCTACTCCATCATCTCTGGAAATGTGGAAAGTAAGATTGGCATTTTTGTCTTGAGGTATTTTCTGTTGATCACATCTGACATATTGCATGTAATATTGTATGCCAAAAATTCTTAGTCTTTGGGGATGTAACTAGAGGCAGGGCATAAATGAACAGAGGGTAGCGATATTCCTGAGCGTTTTGTCTGTTGACCAAAGTTTCATTTCATTCCACTCTTCAGATACCTTCAGCATCGACCCTCAGACTGGCGCCATCATCTTAGCTCGTCAGATCCAGTCCCTGACTGTCCCTACCTACACCTTCACCTTGGTGATTGAAGCTCGAGACAACGGCAACCCCTCCCTGTCCAGCAATATTACCCTCAACGCAGTGGTGGGTGATTACAACGACAACCCCCCTCAGTTCGTCACTCCTTCGCAGGGACAGCTTCTGTTCTTACCCGAGGTATGACATTATTCCACAGGAGGCTTTTCCAGAATGTTAGACAGCAAAATTTGTTATTTGGTTATCTTAGAGCGTACATCATGCACCATAACACCGCTCGGTCAGATTGCAAACATGAAATCGTGTAGTGTAAAGAATCCTGTGGAATTTATAAAGCAATTTTGGTTGGACTAGATTATGAGCTTTATTGTACTAGAGTTCATAGTATTTAATGGCTAAGTATAATATTTGGCATGGGAATCTCTCAGGAAGAGAGTGCAAAAGAAAGTAAATCAGAAAAAAGAAGGTCTGCAAAAACAATTTTTATTGCATCGTCTTTACTGTAAGGTCTCAGCCAATCACTGTCTATTCTCTTTCAGAACGAGCCAATAGGGTTCCGGATTGCCTCAGTCCTAGCGGTGGACATCGATAGTGGAGCCAATGGCCAAGTCACCTATGGCTTCCTGAATGAGGCGAGTGCTAAGCTATTCTTTTTCCAGCAGGAGGGAAACACAACGTACCTGTATGCTAACTTCTCAGCTGACAGAGAGACAAGAGATCAATACAATGTAAGTAATTTTGCCCCGGCAAATATGTGAAGAATTTCGTCATTGACATTAGTACAAATATTCTTCTTGAAATGGCTCAGTAAAACTAGGCTTCACAGGAGATGTGTTTTATTTTCTTGAGGCAAAGCTAAGTGAAAATAGAACGCTCAGTAGATCAGTGATTCAGTGGTGTTGAAGTTTTCTCTTCAACTTTGTCTAGCTTGTACTTCTAGCTATGGATGGTGGCACCCCTCAGCCCTTGCAGACGCCCTTGGAGGTAACTGTGGTCATCGTGGACAAGGATGATAATGAGCCTTTCTTTTTGAGAGTGGTAAGCAATCAATGGTCTTATGGTAGTCTGGGGTTCCTTATCCATCAATTTCTCTTCAGCTGTTCATTCTTTCTTGCCTTGTTTTTTTATTTGTGACAGACATTAAGAAAGATATACAGTACCGAAGTGACTACGTGATATGTATATGAGAATGTATCATTATGTGTTTCAAAGACGTTAGCATGTACTCTATTTGTTTCCATTTTCTGGTTCAAAATGAGGTCACAACTTCGCTACTCTGTAACACGTTGTTTCTTTTAACCAATCACTGAAGAACATCCCTATTCGTTTGCTTTGTAGGATAATAACGTAGCTATTGTACAGACACTAAATGTGACTGAGCATTCCAACGTGAACACATCGTCTGGATATGTGACCACAGCCCTAGATCTTGACCTGTCTCCAAACAATGTGATTTATTACTATATTGTTGGTACGTATCCTGTTTTGTAGATGATATTTTCTAGACTTTTCTGAACTTGTATAAGAAAAGGTAACATGTTTTGAAGTTGATACAAGTATATTACAGAAAGGACAACCAGAACACCTCTGGATCTTTGACCCTTTTACCTGACATGTGATCACGGTTATGAATATTCAAGTTCTCTCTTTTAGCAATCCTGGAAAGACAAAAACAGAATGTTGACCCCAGCCATACTTAAGCTGTTGCACATCTGTGGCTGACATTTCTACTCAAGATGACATCACAGTTTGGCTCATGAATATGCAAATCTTTATTAGCATGAACACAAAAAGAGGTTCCAGAATACCTTTAGAATATAAAAGCAAGCATTGGTTTTCAAGAATTGTTTGCAAATATTTTAAAATCAATTCTGTTACTGTTTTAGGTGGGAATGAGAACGGCTTTTTTGGAATCAACAGTACCACCGGTGAGATCATCGTCCTGGGAGATTTGGATCGAGAGACTATCGCTACCCACCGGCTCATCATCAAGGCCACAAATAATGCCAGTTATGTTCCATCAGGCATTTATGACGTGTCCAAGGACATGTCGCTCAAGGAGGTGGAGATTGTAGTGAGAGACATCAACGACAACGGGCCAAGGTTCACTACGGTCCTCTACACAACCGGTCAGTAAACACTACTTGGGGACAAATGTGAAATCATAGTCCGAGCTGCCATGCATCATAGTGAAGCTTTTGTTTAGAAATGGGTAGGGTGAATACTGTGCCATTAATACTGTGATCTGACGTTACGAATTGACAGCACAATACATCACATGACCTCACTACAACTTAGCTGTCATGTAAAACCCAGGTTTTTCCTATCAAGCTGATCTTACTAGTTGTGTGGTGTAGATATGTGAACATGTGACCAACTGAACATTAATGCCGTTTGGAGTCATATTGGATAAGGGTTGGGGAATTGTAATTATAATGTTTTACCTGTTTACCTTGCTACTTGTCAATCATAGGCTTACCCCTGGATGCCGAGATCAACACGCAAGTGACCTGTATCAAAGCCACGGATCTTGATGTTGGAGGTGGGGGCGCTATTACCTACGCCATCCAGTCAGCCACGTTTGTGCTGGGCCAGGACCAGACGACCTTTGACAACATCTTCTACATTGACGAGAACTCGGGGTGCATCCGTACGCGCAACCTACTCAATGAGGTCAAGGCTGGGGGTTATTTTGATCTGACGGTGACGGCTACAGACAAGACTGCCGGGCTGAGTGATACCGCCCTCGTCAGGGTGAGTAGAAATCATGCAGGACTCCTAATTCTTTGAAGAAATTTTTTTAGCGTGAAAATGACACCCCTCTGAACTCAACAACTTGAAACAAAAGGTTAAGTTTGATATAAAAAATGTGAAATTAGTTTAAAAGTTACTAGTCAGTTTATCCACTCATGTAAGATAAGTAAAGTGAATTATGAACACAAATGTGATTGGAGTCTGTGGGTGGAAATTTACAGTTTGACTTTACGATGAGCTTTTGTTGTTTGTTTGAATTCCTCAGGTGTTTGTTTTAGACACCAATCAGCAGGTTGTTGTCGTAGTTGATGCGGACATTGACACTGTCACAAACCTACAGGACCAACTAATCAGGTAAGTACATAGCTTTCAGTTTGTGTGATTGGGTCACAGTGCTTGCATCAAATGCCCTGATCCTTCATGATAGTGAAAAAAATGTAGGCTTGATGTCCATGTGAATTCAAAGAGGGCAAAAAAGCCTCTCTGTTTTTCTCACTTGCAAAGACAGTGCAGATTTGTGCACATTCAATTGAAAAATCAGTCACGTATTTTCAACAAATGCATAGTTGAACTGTTACACACATGCATTGTTTCTTTCCTAGTACACCAGGTATGGTGTTATATCCAGGTATGCCAGATTTTTGTCACTGAGTTTCATTCATTCATGTTGAGTCTGTTTTTTTGTTTGCTCTTCAGTATCATTGCTAACATCACAGGAGGAATCGTAAACGTAGACTCCATCACCTACTTCATTGATTCCAATGGTAACACCGTCAGGGATCAAACTATGATTGTATTGCATGTCATCGACCCAGAGACTAACTCCCTCATGGATGCTGACATCGTGCTCAGGTGAGACATTGAAGGAGGTCGCATCCAAAAACCAATCTCAAACTCACAAATTTGTAGCTAGAACTTGTTCACTGCGTCAGGACATTGTGACATAGGGCCATGTTGTATTTGTTGTCTGATAAATCTATTAAACAAAGGACTATGGGACATTTGAGGGCAGCACAGAGAATGATAGGCAAAGTGGTTTTAAAGGTCTAATGTCCTAAATAAAAGATCTCTGGAGCCAAAATTTAGAATTCTTTTCTAGTTTGAGCTGAAGTCTGGTTTGAAGTATGCCCCCCCCCCTGTTTGTCTCAGACTCAGGAAGACGTGAAGTTTGCTTTGTTGCCATTTCAACCTCCGATTTGAAACTGTAACAATATTAGTCAGTTTCTGTGACTGTCTTCATGTGTTCAGCTTTTCATCTTGCAAGCTAAAAAACTAACAGTGTTGTCTTTCCCCTATTATTTCTGTTTCCCTCCACAGGTTGATTGACGAGAATAGTAAGAGCATCAGCTTGTTATTCCAACAGTATGGCGTTGTTGATGTATATGTAAGTATATTAATCAAAGTAACCAAGACACGAATATTCTTTCCTTGTCAGTAGTAAACTGTGTTTGAGAGCTAAACAGAAGGCAAACATGCAAGGATATTGATGATGGACTGATTTCATTTGTGTGTGTTTTTTTTTCCTAGGCTCTGATGGGTGGTGTTGGTGGTGCAGGCTTCGGCATTATTGAGATTGCTCTCTTAGCCATTGCCTTGCTGCTGTTCCTAGGAGCTCTCATCTTCATCATTATCCTGTGCTGCTTGCAACGAAAGTGAGTCCAAGGCTTCTCTCCGTGGGGGGGGGGGGAACCCCCATGCCATTCCAATCCCATTGGCCCTCTACTGAGCAAATGTTGGTCACAAGACTGCTTTTCATGATCTTCCTCTGCCCGTAAAAAAAGACAAATTTTAACACAATCCCAGAATGGCGTAAGGAATAAGTGCTCAACTCATTTGTCTAAGTTGGATTCCAAGCCACCGGCAAATGTGAAAATGTGATTCTCTTTATTCTGCAATAGATATTTGAAGAAGATCCATGGAAACAGCCCAGCTGTGATCTACGCAACAAGAGCCGATGCTAATGTGAAGGACACCGCTACCTACCAAGGGTAACTATGACAACTCCTTCACTTGATGGCTGTATTTGCATTTCTTAGCACCACAAAGCTTTCATCTTGTCTGGTCAAAATCTGACTGGACTCTAAGGGGATCACTCGTCCTGTATTCAGACATTGGGACTTCACCACTAAACCACCGAATTGCAGTGAACAGCTCTGCTTTCATTTCTGCTTTTCTTGTCTCCTTCCTCGTAGGTCCAACCCGCTGTGGCTAGAAACAGAAGGTGGTATCCCTGACGACTGGCCTGACAGTATCTCTCTCCTCGGTGGAGGAGCAGCTAGAGAGTATGAATCACAGGTACGAATATGTCTTGTCTGCTTCTCCAAATTTCAAATGCTGACCATTGAATTCATAAAACTGGTTGATGACATTGACATCAAAATGAATGTGCGGAAAGGTTCATTTTACAAACTCAGAAAAAGGAGCGATATGTTTTTAGGCTCATATTGCAAGTCTCACTTTGAGGAAGGGATAAACCAGCCAGACTTGTTGTCAGCTAGAAGCTTTGTTTTGTGAATTACAGGAAGCAAGCATGGATTTCTTCTCGGATATCCACGCAGAGGTTGCCAAGGATGCTCTGGTCATGACAGCAATGGTCAATGACAATCAAACAAGTTCTGTACGATCCAGGACTACCTCTAACGGTGGGTTGGTCAGCAATGGACGGGTCAGCATGGGCGCAGACCAAGGCAAGCTGCGTGTCGTGTCATCCTCGGCTCCTCTCATAATGGACAGCACTAATACTGATGGGTCGGTCAGCACTTTGACTAATCGCATCAACCGGGATGGGTCTGTTACGGCCAGCCTGAGCGGCAAGGACGGTGGATATTCAGCATCCGGTGCCACTTACAGCTACTCCACGGCTAGCTTCAGTGGTGACGGGGTGAGACCATCCACCAGTAAGAAGCTTACCAGCGAAAAGGCCCAGGAGATCCGGCAGATGCTTGATGAGGACCAAGGTGTGGAGGCCACGTTCCTGGACGAAGCATACCAAGACCAGACCAGCTTGGCAGCTGCAAGAGCAAGTTACCGGGAACAGGTGGAATTCGACAACCAGCTCAGCCCCATCACGGAGGAAGACACAGCATCTTCATGGTCCTCCTGGACGCGAGACAGTGAGAGGTCTGGAGCGAGGTACGCTGGATCGGGGACTCTTGACCGCAATCGCACCTCTGGCTACTCTTCTAAAGACTACCCTGACCCCATGAAGAATTACACTACTTCCACCAGCATTGAGGAGAGCTACTCCCGTTCTGTCAAGGGTCCTGGCAAGTCCGAGTCGTCAAGCTTCTCCCGCCGCGCCAACTCCAAGACTTACTCAGCTGGTGTGGCCACCAGTATCGGGATGGTGACCCTGACAGAGGAGACACCAGAAATGCTGGAAGAAGATGAATCGGAGACATCATCCATCGAAGAGGGGGCCGGGAAAACGTACGTCTACAACGTCAGAGGGGACAGCAGCGAGGGTGCTTCATCCGGACACAGCGCCACCAAGAGGGCAACTGAAACCAGCCTGATGAACTTTACGCACGAGGAGGATGACGCCGATGAGGTCATTGAAGAGCGGGAGGTAAGGCGATCTGTGAAAACAACTCGCGGCTTCACCAACAGTGGATATGACAACTACTTGGATGAAGAATCACGTCTTTAGTGTTTCTGCATCCATCATTGTCTCACAATGCATGTTTAACTATACTGCTCGGAAATCTTGGTATGTTTGAGTCACGTTCACTCACAATCCAAGATGAAAATATGTTGCGTCCGTGCTGTAACCTTGTTTTTTCTCTCAGATCCAAGTTGTGTATTTAAAACAGTGTCATTGGCAATTCTCAGATGTAAAATGTAGCTGCAGTGAGTCTTTCTTTGACGTAGTTTTTCGGCCTCTGTACTTTTCTTCAATGTATGAAAACTGTTACATACTCCTATTTGGTTGAATGCATTGAAAAGTGCACACTTTTACAGAATCAAAACTATCTGTTTCCTTGGACAACTGAGGGCGCTGTTGCTGTGACATCATCAAGGAAAGACATGGTTCAGTGCACAGGTGTTTCTGTTCAAATTAAGAACCAAGAATTTACTAACTGAAAACATTTCTTGGAGAGGAATTGATAGTTTCTTATTGCTATGCACATAACCAACAATGAATCAGGAAAGAAGAGAAAACTTAATCCAGGAAAATCTACAAAAATGCAGGACTTTTCTTTGCACAAACCAATATAACATTGAGGCTTTTTCCTGAGATGACGTCAGTTTTGCTCATGAATATGGAAATTACTCATTAGCATAAAACCAAATGGCATTAAAATACCTTTTTGCATCTACAGTAATTTGTTACCGGTTAACCAAAACAGAACTATGTGGAAATAGCTGATTTATCTCGAGTTATAGTGCTTACAAAACTTGAGCAATCTGAAACCTTTGTGTATTGTGAAGTACTTTGAAAGTACTTGTATGTGGTGTGGGTTGAAACGTTATCAAGTTTTATATATATATTTGGAATTATTTGCATATATCTGTCTGTAGAATGCTCTCATAAAGTATTTTGTTTTATCTTTGGGTTTTTGGATAAAGTCAGTGCAGTATAAATTTTTAAAGTAATGTTGACTTAAATTAATGACCAAATTGGAAACAAAATGTGGCAAATTAAAAGTTTTGCTTATTGCCTTGGGGAATTGGAAGGTGACTTGAATGTAGTATATCTGTAATTATATTAATAGTTTATTTGACATGTATTTTTATGCATAGTTGTACAAAATATTGAACGGTTTTTATAGATGGCGGTAAGATTTTATCAAATGTGTTATTACGTTAGGCCTTCCGTGGACAGTATTGGTAATACACTGTGTATGTTAACATGCATTAGCCTTTTTGAAGCATGGCAAACACAATAAGAGGGCAGTATTTGAAGTGGGTACATTTGGAAGGGCACATGAGATATTTTTCATGCTTACACTTTTTACTGTTGAGGACAGGCCGGAATAGCGCCCTCTTATTGTGCTGCCAAACCTCAAATAGGCTAACTTGTAGGCCCAGTGTATATTAACAGTTAACATATTAACATTAAGTTGATACACATATATAATGGGTTGAAGGCAAGGAGTTTTTTTGAGGACAAGCTCTTGTCTAAGGTCAACTGTTCAATTTAATTTTTTTTGTTGCAAGCACAATGATGCGGTCAGTGACTTTAAAACAAACTTAATTTAGATGATGTGAGGAGTGCTTTTTTGTTTCCATTAGTAACAGCTAAAAGGATGTAAAGAAAATTGTTTTAATTTGCAGCTTACATGTTCTGTTTGTGTGATTATTATAGACCTTTTTGAAATATTCTTGTTATATATCGTTATATTAGGCCAACTTTGCTAACTATTTGCTAACCAGTAAGGCCATTGACACTAATTTTGGGTAGCCAAGGGGACACTTAGTATGTAATGAAATCTGACATTTTAAATAATGTCGCTGTCCCCCACGAATGAACTTAAATACATGTCATGCAGAGAAGGATTATGGAAGAGAAATTTCTGTAAGGTTGATAATCAGGTAATCAGTTTGAATGGAGTAAACGAAACGTGGAATTGGACACCAAGCGGTTGTTGGGACAAGTTCAGAGTATCAAACTGGTACATGTAGTTGAATAGCTTACTATGGAACGTTCATAAAGAGTTCCATACATGGACAACAGTAATTTTCTTGTAAAATGTTGTAACAGCCGTCAGAAAGTGAAACATGTCCTAAGATTGAAAATTTGCTGAGGAGAATCTGGCACATTTACTTAGAAAACACTTAAGATTTTCCGACAATTCTCGTAGGTTTGTGCACAGGGCTTCAAGTGTTGTCCGTATATCATGTGAAACTCTTTCTGGAAGTTCAATACGCTCTCAGTCTGTGATCATGCCCAATATTTGATCAATGAGTTTTCTGCTTTCTGTAACCCTCTGTTGCATAATGTTAAACACTATTTTGCATAGTACAACTCATTAGTTGCGTCATTTTTGTACAATTTAGTGTACATAGGTTTTACATTTGCAGACGACCCATGTCAAGTTAAGCTTATTTCTTTGAATCGTATCTAGTCAAAGCAGGTCAGTGATGTAATGAATGGTAATTACATTAAAGTTTTGCCAAATAGGCCAGAAGGCAGTTCATTTGATGGTTTGTAGTACAATGTATTCTAATGTCAAGCTGTAAAAAAAGAAGACACCCACCTTAAAGAGTGTTCCATAGAAAACTGAAGAACCAGTCAGTTTAAAGTGGCACCAGACTATCATGTGACTGCCACAAAAAGCTTTCCATATTGTGGACAACAGAGGGCAATGTATCAAAAGAACCACTGAAGCATGAAAAAGGTACTCAAACAGCAAACTTCTCAACCAACTTAGGAAGGCCCTTCAACCGGCTTACAGCGAGACCCTTGTGCCAAGAGTCACACATGTCACACATGCAGGGACAAGCAACCAGTATCCCTGCAGCCTTCTGCCTTCAGAGCTGCACAATAGGATTCCACTCAGTGTGGGTGAATTACTCAAAGCCTGATGTCATCTGTGTTTGATAGACTTCACCCTGTGGCCCTCTAACTTCAAGAGAAAGCCCCTATCTTAATACAGCCTCTGACTGGCTTGCAAATCTTAATCTTAGACTCCTAATGTTAACTTTCAGGACTAGTCTTAAACCTTTAGTCTAAGCCCCAGCATTGCTGAGCCCCCACATCCTCACCAACTCCAAGGCTATCTTAACTTCATCAACTCTTTGATCCATGGCCCCTGAGCTCCATTAGCCCTACCACCAAATCCTTCACCCCATCAGCTATCAGAACTCTAAGTAGCAGTCCATTTCCTCCAAAGTTCCAAGCCTACCCCTTCAGGGTCTCAACCCTCCAGCTCTTCCACCTCTCTGCCTCCCAGCCTCAGAACCTCAGATCTGGCCAATTTGCCAAGGGGTACCCCTTGCCATCTGGAAATCTGGTCAGTGCTGAAAAATTTCTAAGTATAAACAACCTAAGGTTTATAATTACGAAAACCGTAGAGTTTTTCAAGAAAGTGCCGTGGCCTAGCGGAAAAGAAGAGAGACTGCTAGTCAGCAGGTCCCAGGTTCTAGTCCCAGCCATGCTACCATTTTATTTCTTTTTTTTAAATCACCACTGCAGAGAGTAAAAAATCCTCTCCCTGGGTCCCCGGCCGGAATTGAACCGGGGACCCGTCAGCCTGGCGGACAGCAGGCTAGCCCACTAGGCCACAGGCTTCTTCGAAAAAATGTTCTCGGAACTTATATTTAAAGTTTAGATTGCGCAATCAAAAAAAGGAAATGAGGATGACCCTTATAACTCATTTACATAACAAAACTGAACAATGAATATTCAACAGGAAATTGCTACATAGCTCAATTCATTAATATTCATTTTATTCCTACAGCATATTCACCCGTGAACACTTCAGCCAAAATTTAATTTGTATGGTACAAGTATAAAGATAAGGTAGTTTGTTTTTACCAAAAGACATTCAATTTTGGCAGTTTTACAATAAGTTTCAATTGCTTTAATTACCATGAATTTCAAGATTTTGTGGATTACATATCTTGTACAACCTGAAACATTAATTTTAATTTCAATGAAGTGATTGGCAGTGCATTGATTATCCCCAACAGTCCCAAATCCTCCGATTTCAATGATTTTACATACACTATAGGGGGTTAGGGTTAACCCTGAAAGTCCCAAATCCTCCGATTTCAATATGATTTTACATACACTCTAGGGGTGAGGGTTACAGTTTGGAGGATTAAAACCACATTTTTATGCCCCAAAATAAAATTTGGCTTCTCCTTTTGGGCCAGAAAGTTTAAAACATAAATTTGATTAAGAATAGAATACATTTCATATTCAAAATACCTTAAAATTTTGACTCGTGCGTAAATGAAGAATTCCTCTTGCCATGACAAACTTAGTGCCAACTTTTTTGCACTTGTCCATTGTATGGTGTCAGGCAGGATGTTCAAATGCTTCATGGCAATCATCTAAAATGAGACATAAGGCTATAAAACATTTACTACTAATGGCTTCGACTTGTCTTGACAAATGTCAACACCAAGTACCTGCACAGAACACAAGATGTGTCCCACTTAAAACCAACTTGTAACTCCCTATACGATTGATGGTAAATCTTCAAATTTCACCAATTTCTTTTTCCCTTTTCAATCCACACTTTTCTGACAACCCAATTATGGTCTGTAAACTAAAAACGGAATTAGTTTAAGGCATGTACTTCAAGTAATCAAAATTGCTGCACATTGGCCTACTCACTCCCCCCCCAGGAAAAAATCCATCCAACTTACCCTTTATTCCTGGCATGTTAATGTGTGGGTTTGTCTTGAAATTAATGTTATAAACACTCTGCTTAGAATTTAGTCTCAAACGTTTGAGCATTTCTTTTCTAATCGATTCTGATCGCTTGGTCTATCATTTACAGTTGAACAGAACTCTGTGATCATTCCATCGCACTCCATTAAATTGACTGGTTGGGTCAGCTGTACACAGTAAATGACTACAAACGCACGTGCCATGATCAACTCAGCTGGCGTGGAATACCACCAAAAGCCTGAGCAAATCAACGTTTTTAGAAGGCATCTGCAACTTTATTTATCCATATGCTGGTTCTGATGCTACAAATTATCCACACTTTATGATGAATATTAAAATGCAATGAGACAAAGCAGTGAATGGGGGAAATAATTTTATTGAAGCACAAATCATAAGTCATTAAAAGACTGAATGCTCAATTCTACAGTAAAATAACTCAAAATAAAAATTCCACATCTGATTTATCCAAACGTCTGGCAGTTGCAACTATTGTAAATTAAATTGATCTCATACTTAGAAAAAGTGAAACTGAAATTTGTAACTTTGTGGACAAATGTCAGTACATCTACACAGACAGGTTCTGTTTGAGCTTAAGCTGGCATCCTCATTAGGTGTAAGCTGTAGTTGGATAACTCAAAGCAACATCTATTTGTTAAGGAGAGAAGGGATGCTGTTACCAGAACCATTTGAGATTCTCAAATCCCATCACACACT